TCCCGAGAGATCGTCGGGTTGGTAAACACCCTTCCCAACTGAGGATGGAGCGGACAAGGCTCGACAAGGTCGTGACAAGTACATCGGCATCGGCAGCTCCGGGCAGACCGTTACAACAGCTGTGGGTGCGCTCCTCCGGGGATGGGGTAGGATGACGGTCGGTTAACGGCGGCTGATGGTGTGAGTCTAGATACGACAGTGGTGTTGGTAGTGCGCAGTATGCGGCGCGGGAAGGTGGCAGTAACCCAACAGTATTGACAGCAACTGTTGTTAATGGACCAAGGCATTTGCCAGAAAATAGCAAGTTGGAGGAACTGAGAAAACAGGTACTCGAGGGCTTAGGAAAATCTGATGTCTCTCCTTCTGGTCGCACTGTAAGTTTTTGCTGAGTGGAGCTACACACTTTATACAGGATCGTGAAAGGCAGCGACAGCGAGCTATGGCTGATGACGAGGCAGCACGGAAGCGTCGCGAAGAAGAGCAACGCATTCGAAGGCAACAGGAACAACAGCGGCAGTTGGAGCAGCAGCGGCAGGTGGGATATTCTTCTGAGCCTCAGTAGTGAACTGATCGATATGTCAGGCCGCCGCCGCCGAGGAGTCAGATGACGAGTCCAGCTCAGAGTCGTCCTCCTCTTCCGAGGAAGAATCACCAGTCGTTCGCCAGCCAGCTCGACGTCCGCCTCCTCCGCAACAACGGTACTCATACTCGCAGCTTGTTTGAACAGTGTATGTTCACCATAGGCGTCCTATGCCGCCCCCTCGGCCACGACAACAACAGCCACAACAGCAATCGGTCGATCTGCTCAATATGAATGCAAGGCCCGCCCAACAGCAGCAGCAGCCAATGCCCTACCAAGGGGCGCCGCAGGTCCAAGCTGGTACAGGTGCTTATCCAGGTAACGCGGAGAAATATTGGTGTCGGGTTATGGCGCGTTATTTCCAGGCCAGCAGCAGGGCTATGCTTACACAGGCTACTATGGTCAGCAGCCAGGGTATGCCCAGCCATCCATGGGGAGTATGCCGATGCCACAGCAACAATACCAACCCTATCAGCAGCAACAACAACAGCAGCAAGCTGCGCCGCCCAATCCATTCGCAGGCTACCCACAGCAGAACAGTAACCCCTTTGCGCCGTATCAAGGCTCTGGAGGAATGCAGCAATTTCGAGGTCTCTGAAGTGTGCTGGGAATCACCAGTGAACTTGTTACTTACCCTCTATATTGCCACTTCGCGCTTGTTGTCTGCTGCGTGTAGTACTTGTACGGTTATTGCTGAGGTCTGGCATAGTCATCAAATCAGTTTTCTTAACGCTGCTTTGCTCATTGGGTTACAGTACACCACGAGACAGACCTGTAACTTTCTGAGTAGCACCGAGAGCAGCCATTTCGGCGATGCACTCCACCGTGGCACAACTCCGGGCGCTGGAAATCATCATTTAGTAGTGACTTCCTGGACACTCCATTCGGTGTTTGCCCAGCATTCCGGGAACATCAGTTTCGAACGTTGTAGTGAACATGGCAGCTGAGATAGCAGCATCAGCGCGCATGATGCCAGGCAAATCGAACTCGGCCCTCGCAGTGACAGTCACTGATTGGAATGTATTTCCGCACAACGTCGTGACGATGGATAGCAATTCCGCATTATAGATAGAACAACCCACCACTGAGGAAGTTCGAGATTATGCCCTATGGCTTGGACTCACGGACGACGACCACGACCTGTTTTGGATTGCCGTGCAAGTGATAGTTCTGATCCTGTAGCGAATCTCCACGTCTCGCGAGCCAGGCTCTCACCACACCCATACCGAGGCCATGGGTCCAGTGCCAGACCGACTCTGGTGATGTATTTTTCCACAACTCGAAAACGAAAGAAAGCGTCTGGGACCATCCGTAGAGCAATGACTTTGGACTGCTGTTGTCTGTGACACCCGTAGTAGCTAGGTACGACAGTTTCTATCAGCAGGCAGTTGGTGAGTACAAGGAGGGGAAATGTGATCGCAAGAAGCTGGTGAGCTCACAGGTTTCACCTTAGCTATCTGGTCGGGAGTGTAGACCGACATTCGAAACAGATGAAGGTTGACAAAGAAATTTGAAGTCGCAGAAGTCTTCCTGCTAAACGAATTACACGCGAGTACAAGATACGAATACCAATGAGCTTGGAATAGGAAAGACATGACAGGCTGAACTGGATGATGCCCTTCAGGCTGAGCTCCTATCACAATCATGGTTGCTAGGCGACCGCAAATCAGCAGCGAAATCTGATGCAAACTACGAGGACAACGATGGTATTAAATTGATAGCCTACTTGCACTCATAGTGCTGTCACCGATGTGATGATCTGTTGTAGAGGAGGCTACGCCTGGCACTTCATCTGTCAATACAGCAAAGGGCAAGGGAAGCGAGGAGAGGTGAATTCTGGCTCGATCGTGACAGCTAAGGATAGAACTGCATGTTAACAGAATGAGGTCTGTCTTGGCCAGAGCTGAACACGCCGTCGTGTCTAGCAGCGACAGTGAAACTGAACAGTCACCGAGGTATTTCGTCCCTCCCACAGCTACACCACCAAGTGGCCCACGCAGGTCTGGCGCTGGTGAGGAACGATCACGAGCAATTGCCGAGCGAAGGAACACAAAAGTAAAGGAGTCTGCTACTGTGAATTCCATTGCTGTGTTGAGATTCCGCGAGATTGTATTAAAGGTGTTCACGGAGCTTGAGGAACTTAGAGGCGAAATGCACAGACTTGAACTGAAGCTAGCAGAAGTCAGAGAGAAGAAGGCAGGTGCGAGCACTCCCCCTGACTCGTGGAATGGTCCCGTATTTAAGAGTGCTTCGAAACTCGTGGTCACGCCATTCCTGCCTGGGCTGGGGTTTAGGAGTGATATTGCTCTCATTGTTCGAAGTTGCATATGAACACTCCATCTTTCAAAAATTATTCCATCTCGGAATAGACACACTTTTATTCCCAGAAGTCGACAGGGAAGCGTCTGAGCTTACAAATGCTCACCAGCGCAAAATCGAAGCGGCGAAGGATATTGAAGATGAGGTGGAGAAGACCAAGGAGGATCTCTCGCAGATTAAAGACGATATTAAAGCGACTTCTAAGGTGGAGCTGATACAGTTCGTCCACGACTTTTCTCAGACAGACGCATTCAGTTTAATCGAGAAATTAATTTCGTTCGACTAGACAATTCTCGTTACGGTTTAAATTGACTCACTGGCTGGGTGGTCCTATCGGACGTTAACTCGTCAGACACGTGAAGGCCTGGAGACAGACATGGCGACGAAGGAGACAGAGTGGGAGGGTAAGATAGCCTCTCTGAGGGTTGCTCTAGAACGGGGGAAAGAAGAGGTGGTCTCATTAAAGTTCGCGATGGATGCACATGTAAGGGAAAATTAAAATTGTATTTCCTACATCGGAGATTCTCAGAGAAGAGAAGACGCAGCTCTCCGCTCAAGATTCGCGGAAGCTCGAGCTCTTATCGCCGCACTGGCGGAAGTGGAGGCTTCTACGAGAGACTCGATTCTTGAGAAGGAAACTCAAACGAAAGATGTATTGGAAAAGATTGCCAGGTCGAGCTTCACTGCTGTTCGTGCGGGTCGAATATTTGCTTTACAGAGTGCGTAGCATGCTCAAGGCTGAGAGGGGTCGGTTCGGCCGAGTTTGTGCTGGCAAAGCGCCAGGAGTCGCTAACGACGCAATTAAGACTACTGAGGCGACCGTCTCGTCCACGCAAAGACACAGGCGAGTTCGCACTGGGATCACATCTCTAGGTTATTTCAGGTACTGGGACGACTTGCTTGGGAGTGATCTAGCGCTACCATCTTCATCGCATGTCGATCTGCCCGAGGCTGGAGATTCTGGTCAGGATTCCGGTGTTGAAACTACATCAGCACATCCTTCGCCAATATCGTTGAGAGAAAAAGGGAAGTTCCCCGAATTGACAGAAGTCATGACATTCGGAGAAGAACCCGCAACGAGTTCGGAGGAAAACTCTTGGTGAACATGATGCGAACACGTGGGGTGTCGAACACGAGAATTGTGTTTCAAGTGGATTTCTGAGGGTTTCATTTGTCGAAGTCTCCAACACAGAAGCGTATAAGTTTGAATTGGTTGGCTTTTATCCACGAAGGTTTTCGTGAGGGTTCGAAGCATGATGTTTCAAATGCATACTTCTGCAATGCTAATGTCGTATAATTATCAGACGCGACATTTTTCAACGTCTTTGAGCGTAATCTTGACTCAATAACGCAATAAGAGGCATCAAGCGGGCCCAATCTTCAGAAGTGCCTGCTGCATTACTCTCCCCCATGGTTATGATCTCTCCCAATTCTTGACAGTATTTTAGTGTTACAACTCTTGACAGCAACTCAATATTGAAGGAATCAGGAATAATAGGAAACTACTTTCTTGATAACGTCAAACTAATACAGCCACGGTGATACCGGGGACAACTTGGGCAGCGCGGAGCGTCACGCGATTCGGACGATTATGTGGATTCCCGAGGGAGAGTAGACCTGGTAACACATAAAGTAAAGGCGAATAAGGACATAGTTGACAGAAACAGTACGAATCACGCTTACGAGAGTCAACTTACTAGATCACTCATTTCTCCAACGTCTAACGCGAAGGCTGCCTCCTCGAACTCAGCCATCATCTTGCCGTGACCGAACCAGTCCAAGTCGCCACAAAGATTCCCGGCCTTCCGACTCGACAAACCTAACGTTGTCGCAATAACATAAGTCACGCAGAGAAGGTGTATGCCTTACACTCGGAATGCTTCTTGCAAAGTTCTGGGAACTTGCTTGAATCCTTCTTGAGATCAGCAAGGATGGACATCATAGTGTTTTCGGCCTCCGTCTTCGCTGAGTGAGTGAAAAGATACATCATGTAATAGTCTAGCCTGCACTGGTCTATGAGTTCTGAGTTTCTCCTATAATAGTCTCCATGCTCTGCTACTATGTTCACAACTTCTCCTCATCTACTTACTTCTTGTGACCTGCTTGTTCCGGACCCGATCACGCGGATTCCTAACGTCCTTGTGCTTCATCAAAATATGCTTGCACCGTATCTTCTTCACTTCTCTCGCAGGGCCTGTTCCTAAGAATAGGCGAACGTTTTTACGCACCGATGCGAACAGCGAAAACTCCCTTACGCTGCCGTTTGCCCGCCTTGGGTGAGCTCGGATCCTCAAGCGCCTTCGCTTGCTGCTCAGCGAGAAGATCCAGATCCCCAAAAGTCGGTGGTCGCGGCCAATTCAGGAAGACGGTGATAGCAGTCAAATTATCTTGAGAACCTCGTTGGTATCTGCCGAGTAGAATATTCCATAATCCCACCAAACCAACTTGCGTGAACATGGCCATTAAGATGAAGGCCAAGTGCCATAGTTCAATACTGCTGATTTTCAACTGCAAGCCTCTCGATCTCGTACGCCTCTTGAATGAGTCCTCCTGACGCCGCCTTAGGTTTCCGATTGTACTGCAGTATCTTGGCGCCAATCATCGCTGGTGTCATCACATCTGTAACGCCGTCGCATACGAGAACCTGCATTAAAAGTCTTCTTTCCTAGAAGCCCTGTCCGGGACGTACAAGCGCAATATCAGTTTCTGGGCTCAGTGTGTAATGATTGACGCTAGGCTCCGACACCACAAGCTTGTTAGGCGTCTTGAACTCTCGGTCACCAAATGCACGCGATACCGCCAAGGCAATCTGAAGCGAGTATCCTCTTCAGAACAAAGGCGACCACGGACCCTACCGGTGGCTTCTCCACCGCTCCTAGACCGGCATTGGTAGCCTTCTTGTATGCTTTCATTTTATCTTCGTAGTCTGCCGCGGCTACCCTCACCTGATAAATTAGAATCCAGTCACAGTGGAGAACGACATAGAAGAGAATTTCGTTTCATTAGTTTCGGATACTAGGGGATATGCGGTGTTCCTGAATAGAATTACACCCAGGATAGGCTTGACTCGAACTCTTCACAAACTTCACGCGGTTTCTCGATGCGAGCTTTCGCCCTTTTCAATGCAGGATCAACCATCTCCTTACCACGCCACCAGCTGGTGTCACCATCGCTCCGCCATTTTTGACTATGCGCTCCTTCTCTGAACCAAAGAGGAATCATGACGGCCCATGAGCCCCTCTGTCACGACCCACCGGCTTGATCTTCTGGTTTATGGTTAGTATGACACGACTTCACTTCCAATTTATAGTTTGGATGCCGCCCTTGCTGCTGCTGCTGCTGATGGTGATCAATCCCCGCAGGGGCTGAAGAGGTGAGTAACGAACCCCCACCCTCAAAGAGTACGACAAGCCTAGTCACTTACTTTGCACTGGAATGCGTTGCACCAAAAAGCATGCCGAATCGCCGATATTAGCGACGTACAAGTCTATTCCAATAACCAGGGCGATCACTGAAGAGAAGACAACACAACAATTACAACTCGATTATATTAGGGCACTTCAGCATAGCTCACCAGCTGTGCTCCCATCTGGGATAGTCCTGTATTTCGCAAGAAACTCCTCGTCCAACTCTCTGAAAGAGTCCTCGAAAACCTTGCGCATGAACTGATTCAAAAACTGTATTTTCCATCATCTTCTCGTGCAGCCAAGCGCCCTAACCTCTTCAGTTATCGGCCCCTTATGACTCGCCAGCCGCGGTAAAATCTAAAGCACTTGCAACTTGCCAAAAGTGTTAATACCACGCCTCACTCACCTTGTTATGTGTTTGCTTAATACAGTAGTCCGCACAAGTGACTCCCTGGTGCCCATCATACACCATATACCTGAAAACCAGCGAGTGACCTGTTGTAGAAGTCGAAGACACTATATTTAAAATGACACTGATTGCCACGACTTCAAGTCGAATAAGTTGATTCCCCGGAACGCATCCTAGTGGTATATGGAGGCATTATTAGAATCAATTCCAACTAACACTGGCTGTGCTCAACCGCGACGAGCTTCTGAGAAAGCGAGCTCCGAATTCAATAATGAGAATAAGAAGTGAACACACGCCGAATGAACGAATCAAGAAACCACATTAATGGCCCCTCACTCACATTCCAGTTGGGCTGGGCAGATGGTCAAGACTGTACCCGAGCCTCCGCCCGATATCTTTCAAGTCCTTCAACAAGGCATGCTTATCCTCCATCTTCGCCCGCCCTGAGGAATCAGCAATACTAATCATAATCACTCTTCCGGCGACTCACTTCCCTGCATCATGGTGGCATCAGCGGCTAGTCTCAACTCCTGGAACGGGTCGTGCCTGGCCATCGCCATTGACAGCCACTCCTCACGCGACAGTTCTCGAAAACTCCCATCGTGTTGCGGCCTGAACATGACGATCAGATCGTTACGCCTCTCTATGAAGCGATGTGACTCCGTTTAGAAAAACAGCATCTCCATCGCACGAAGCGAAAGTAATTCCGGAGGTTTACAGTCCGGAACATACAACCAATGTGATGGAGTATATTAGGCAGTGAAGGAATCGGATCACTTCACGAGAAGTGACCCGAATTCCACCAGAATGAGCCGCAGAACTCCATCGCGCCAGACCGTCCACCCTCCTCTACTACAAGTATAACTTCTGATTAACTCGCTGGAGCATCGTCCCCGTCACTCCGTGATAAAACCAGTTACCCGACGAGTCTGACTCGTGCGGCACCCACTGAAAATGCATTCCATAATAAACAATTGCCCAACGAAATTGCATGCAAAGCTCATGAATATGCAATCACTTGCAGGCAATCCTCACATAGTACGCGACGCGGGAAGAAGGCAGTAATCCGACCGTGTTGACGGCAACTGTTGTTAGTGGACCAAGGCAATTACACACGAAGTAAATCACCTCCACTTCATTGTAAATCTATGAGCTCTTCAGCTCGCTGTATGAGTTGTGAATAGCTTTCGCATGCATGGCGCATACTCGCGACAAGGTGAGGAAGGATCATTACGTACCCCTCTTGGTCCAGCAACCACCGACTCTGCTGTTCTCGTTGCGCCTCGATATTGCCTTCCGTGCTCTCCGAGGCCAGTCCCCCTTCTCTGTGACGGCCTGTCTTATCGTCGCTAGCAGAGCCACCCTGAAATCGAACCCTCCACGAAACTGCGGATTCCAAGCTTCGGTTTCGCCGATTACCATCCTCATTTAGCACAAAAACGATGTGAACAACTATTTGGTATTCCAGATGGAAGCCCATCGGGGCCGTCCATCTCACACCGAAACGCTCGAGTCATTGCTACCACAAAATCAACTAATCCAGCAGCTCCATAAATCGACTAATATCGTATACGAACGGCCAATCCACGATTAACACTGGTGAATACTATTCCTACAACCACGAATGATGAACTTCCTCTTATTCGTCAATACCCATACAGCCTCTCATCGCTGTTCAACGTGAAGATAACAATGGAACAACCCCTGTAACAGGGGCCCTGCTGTTACCATGAGCTTCTGTTCCAGCTCTTTCATCTGGCGACTAGCCTCCTGAGCCTCTCTCCTATGCTTATCCTCTTCTTGTTTTTGTTTGATCATCCAGAGTGGCGTTCCCCGTCCACGACCTGAAAATACGCATCTCATTTCTACTACTGGGTGACATCAGAATTCACATAGCAGTAGAATCGGTAGTCGTTATTTGGTGATATCAGAAATTTCATCAACTAGCATCAACTCCGACAGGATATAACACCGATTTTTCCTCCAGCTGAAGGGAAACATTTTTCTTGACTAACTCGGTAACTAGCACAGCGCAGTCACATGCAGTTTCCGAATCGAAATGGCTACGACTTTTCTGATGTATGAGCAGAGCATGCGGCAATCACCCATCCTGTTTACCAGGTACATTGCACTGTAGCTTCCGCTCCGCTTGTCGCTGCGCATGAACATCCTCAAAGAATACACTCACTGGCTAAGAAAATGAAAAAAAACCTCTTTAATACCACTCCACAGAACAACGCTCTAATCACAGCCTCCAATATGACTCGCCTTTAGCGATATATATTCTCGCACCTCGGAGGTTTACTAATTACTAATTCACCACCTAATTCTCCCTATTTCCCTACCAACGTTCTACTACTCTCACTTGAGCTGGAATAAACATTTCTACCGTGATCGTCAACCTGCTACTACAACAACACATTCCTACATTCGGTGCCGGTCCATACCGCTGGTTGTACTGATGATCTATGCAGTCAGCGAACTCATCGTCATCTTGTGCTGTCGGCGGAGGAGCCGGGCCAACGTACCCACTGCCTCCTGCACTGCTACTGCTAGTGTTGAAGTCATAGTACTGCGACCCTCCTTGTTGGCCTTCCATTTAAGCCTCAGATAAGGACCAGGAGGACGCGAGCAGGGACAAACACAAAAGCCTGCTATCCTCATATAAGGCAACTCCCTTCTCACTATTAACCCAAAGCTATGGACTCCTAATACGTGAGATAACGAAAATGATTACGACGAATATGTGGAGGGCCAACGAGAGGTGACAGTCTCGACCTCTTCAACCCAGAGCCGTCAATACTATAGAGCCATCGGACACCGGTGTAATGAACGGTAACAGTATACGGGAGATTCGCGATAGATTACTATACCATTCCTCTTTCAGATCAGCTCAGGATGAAGGCTACGAGAGGGACACACTACGCGACCCACGCGAGTTCGATGTTATAATACTATTCATACAACAATCGTGTTCCTATAAAAAACAAACTTATGAAAAGCCTCAGCCATTATGACGCAATTACATTACCAAATACGCGACCGACAACCTACTGGACAACGACAAACTGGTCCTCTCCACAGATCCCAGCCGAAGACTTCAATGGTCACAAACAAGTACTATGGGAGACAGCACGAACTCCTCGTGAGGGTCAAGCATTGAAATACTATAAAATAGCTTATCGAGATTGAATAGGAGTTACCGTTGGTCTTATGCCTTCATACTAGCAAAGTCCCTCAGATAACTGTTATTCTGTGACGCTTGGTCGGTGACGTCGACGGACTCGCCCGAATGCAACCATTCTCTCCTGCTTCTACCACATTCACAGTGCTAGACGATCTCGACCCGCGCTTGCGTGGCGCTGCTGGGGCCGTCAGTGGGATATCTAACACGTGATTCCAAAGTGTTCTATAATGAAAATCAATACAACAACTGTGTCAGTTTCTACCACCCAGCCAACGTGACGAAAAATTCGTCAGCTTCCCTACCTATTACTCACCTCTAAGAACTATCCCACTGTCTCTAACGTTCTCTCCACGAGTGTTGCCCGCAGCCTCGCCGCCCATCAGCAGCATCCTTCGCCTTGCAATAGCAGCTCTAGTACCTAGTTATACTAGATCAAGTCGCCGACGAGCAGATAACAGTCTCACACTGCGCGGGTGGCATCTCCCTCGACAGGGCCAGGTCTAACGCAGTGAGTGTCGATGGTTCGGATGACGGCTCTTCATCGAAGCGTTTACGCTTCATCGGAGTTGAAATTGCTGCAGTTGAAGCCTGCGAGCCGCTGAATAGAGAGAAAATACACGAAGGCATCAGGAACAACCAATATACTACACCCTTTAAATCTCAAAATACAACAAGTGAGAGAACAAATCAAATAAATGAGATTTGATTTTCGACGAGTAAAAGAAGTTTTTCACGAAATGAAAGTTCAAATTCGAAATGAAAGTTCGATTTTCGTAGACCGGCCGAAAATGAAAGTTCAAATTCGTAAATGGAATTTATGAGTTCGGAAACGCAAGTTCAAATTCGTCGAACACAAGACCGTTCGACCAATGAAAAATTTCATCTACGAATTTGAACTTTCATTTCGTGAAAAACTCCTTTCACTCGTCGAAATCAAATTTCTTTCGTCAAATTGCTGAATTTGAGATTGAAAAGGTGTATAAGAGTACCACTTCCAAAGTCTTACAATTTCAAAGAGGTTCCCTCCACTGCAGCAGATGGACTGCACGCAGCCACACTAGATCCGCTCTGGTTACCGCTGACCGAACTCGAGCTGTCTGCCCTCCTTCTGCGGGCGACCGGATGCTCATGTGAGTGCATTGCGGCAACAACCGCAGCGACACTGAGATGCAGACAGTAACCAAATCCTTCTAGCCGAACGACCTCACTCAAACCCCGGACGGAAGAGCTTCCTTCTGATGTCAACAGCACTCGCGGAGTCTCGTTCCAGCACAGCTGCAGCCGCTTCGCTCACTGCCGCAAACGCAAGTACGTCCCCAGGATAGAACAGAACAGACCTGAAAACCAGTAACACAAGCATTCTCACAGGGCGTCTAAATTTGCCCTCACCTTCCCCTGAAAGCTTCATTGAGAAATGCTACAGCCTTCTGCTGTAGTCTCTTTCTGAGCTCTCCATCGCCTGTGATGCTCTTCACTATCTGACAAACGACTAAGTCACAAATCAACTTTCATCTGCTCTCAGCTCGACTCTAGATATTATCCGAGTCGTAGTCGACAACAACACGAGCATAAATTCTGCGAGAAAAAACTACCAATGATTCCACAAGGCGATTTAACAAAATCACATACTCCAATTCGAACCACCATTTCCCGGGCGCGTGACAGTTTCATACCCTCCAAAAACCATGTTATTACCGAGCCCACGTGTTTATGTGGGAGATTCAAATCAAACTCGAATCCTGTCAAACACATTATGGCTTCTTCCATTTCGCAAACATCCTGCGCCATCTTCTGAAGTGCCTGCAAATCGATCGAGTGATCGATTTGTCTAGTACCGCGAAGACCTACTCGCTGACTGGTATATCGCGACTGTCTCTCGAGCTTCTCATAGCAATCAAGAAGTTGATTCATCCGCAAGCGTATCTGCAAATGCACCAAAAAATACCGGAAATTTCTTAAAATTTTCCGAGCCTCACCGGAGACCTCTCGCACGACTTGAACGCAAGGAATGTCGCCGCTAACACTACTGGTCGCCAGCCGTACCGCTAAGAGAAAGCACTGCCCGATACCAACTTTTTCGCAAATTACAACTCACCTTCAAACTGTGCACCGCGTAGAACAGATGACAGTACCACATAGCTGTAGCTCGAATCTCCGCGAAATCGTCCGGACCGATGCCGTTTCGATTCGCCGGTATGCAATAGTCAGTCCAGACCCTCTGGCACACCTAAGAAATTCCATTCCAAGATGAATCCAACAGACTCCTTGCCACCTTATCTACAAAGTCAGCGTGACGCACTACTGCTCTATCTTCTGTTGCATCCGTAACTCTGAGAAGAGACGCACTGAGCGACGATCAAAAGCCTCACCCTTCACCAGTTTGAATACTATTATGTAGCCAGTACGCACAAGACTACCAACAACGATGCATTTCAACGACAAAGCATATATAGGTGCAGTGTTGGAATATATTTTCGCTCTCCTCAGCTAAGCTTGGGAGTTTCATCAATAATTATAGACGTTTCCCTACGAATTCGGGTAGAAACGTACAGGAATCGATGATAAATTCCAAAAATTTCCTTAGAATTTTCATTCGTCACCAACATATGTGGTTGACCTTGTGCATATTTCTCCACACTATAGAGTGGTCTTCCCCAAAATAGTGTGTGAGTTCGTAGTGTAACATGAGCTCGGAAACACAGTCATTGTCGATCCACCCGAAATCTTCGGAGTGCGCTCTAGAGGTAGGGAATTCATTCCAACACCAGAAGATATTTGCTCGACAAGCAAAGCACTACTTATCTTTCCGACTCGGACTAGCGACCCTCAAGGCGTCAGGGGAGAACAGTAACAGCCCTTTGTATGTCTCAGAGCTGCTACATGTCGACTGCTGTGACGAGGCGAATCCAGGCGGTCCATGAGGAGAGATCTGAGACGCGCTGACGGAGGAAAGGATGTTGTGTGTGCTTACCACTGGAGAGGAAGAGTACTCCCCACCGCCTGTGACTGGGCTGTGACTCCCACAGGACCCTGCACTCAGCGGAACTAGACCGCCGAGAACACTGAGGCCTCCACCGCACATCACTATGGGAGCTCGCGATAAGAGGGATGTATCTACAGTGGGGGTGAGTAGGTAGCATTACGAGTCCTGTTGCCTCTAGGATGCTATCGCGCTTAAGACTAGGCACTGCTATATGGTATACCCCCAGTCTAGATGACTGAATTGTCCCACATCCACGTTAGGAGTCTTAATCCTCCAAAACGGAAGGAGTCAGCCCACTTCGGTGAGTAGCAGCTCTCTAGATGAAACGTATCGAGAAAAGAATAGTACAAATGGGTAACAAGATACTACCAGGAGAGTCCTGCCTTTCCTGAGAGCACTGGGGCCGATGAGTTTGTGCAAGCGTGTCACACTCCTCACTGGGCGCACCAGGGGGTCGCTTTGGCGGACTATCGACGTTGACGAACATTAAAGATATTTTTTGAGTTTTGAAAAGATGATATCAAAAACTGGGAACGATAGAAAATATACTAATATCGCAACCTACTGCTAGTGGAGGTGCGAGGGATAAAGTGCCATGTCTTATATTCTCTTAACGATACTGTACACTTCGTAGATCAATATTGATGATAACAATGCCCCCCGACCGAGTCGCCTCGGCCTGAAACGAGGCGACCATTGGCTAGTATACCCCAGTTCATAAAGAATCACTGATATCTGTGATCAGTCCTGGAATCGCGATATACCCGTCAGAAGAGCGAAACATCGGACTTGTCTACAGTGTTAATGACAACTTGAAAACTTGCAATCCTTTGGTGTACGCGTGCCAGTACTGTATAGTCCACCCCCCCCCCCCCAATACGGCGTCAGATTCTCCTCTTCATCGGGTCAGACGTCTTCGCTTCACTGATTGCTTAACAGCAATCTTAACGCGAGAAGATTCACTTGAAGACTTGCAGTATGTATATTGGATATTACCGCGCGCCCAAAAATTGGCAGAATTAATGCTATGCCGTTTTTCGGTACTTGCGGAGAGGCTACTGCTCACTATAACCAACAATCTTTTGTGAAACAGTGGAGGCTAAAAACTCACATGGAAAGTCTGTGAGGAATTAGCTGGAGTAGGAGGTGTGGTTCGTCGCTCTAGTACTACCCCTATGCGTGGGCTGAGGAAAGCTGCTTTAACTGATGCGTCTTGATCTCGTAGAACTCAGTTGTTTTTGATTCTCTTCGTCTGGCCATGCTCAATTTCATTCCCAAGACGTGCCAGTCGGTGTCGTTCCTGTAAGTCGCTCGTCTACCACAACCCCCAAACTGTGAGTTC